ACCTCCCACGTTCCATCTTAGCTGACTGATCATTCATCTTTACTAAAGTATTGTAGTTAACTTTCAGCACCTTCCTAATCTTACTCTGGACTTTGCGAAGCATTTCTTCTGTGTAGCAATGCAATGAGAGGATAGGAATCCTCACCTAGATAGCAAGTTTTTGAACTTGGTTACTAAATGGATTGAAGTCGGGGTTCCAACATTGCATTACTAAATAATAGCCTTAGATCACCCAAGGACCTTCGTTTAATATTCTAAGACACAGCTTCTTGTTTTTTGTTCGTAGTGCAAAATAGTTATTAGCCATGTCTATGATTTCAAACTCAGTTGACCCTAATATAAGTTCTATTCCCTTTCTTATGTCATCCAAACGTATTCTTCTTCCCTTAAGAGTTAGAATTAACGCATCTTTCCATGGTAAGTAGAGTTTCCTCCATTGTTTGTCAGTCATCTCAACCTTAGGTAATTCATCAAAAAGTTTCTTCTGGCTTTCATTCAGTTCTGGAAAGACTTCCTGCTCTTCCTTCAACTAATCTTTGAATAAGGCTTCAAGGTCCTTTTCAATCTCCATGCTGTCCTTTTCAACCTGAGACTCATGATAGGAATTTTGTGACCAAGTTTTAGAAGAACCCTTGGCAACACTCGCAACCTTTTGAGAACTCAACTCTCTAACTTCATCCATTTCAACATCAAGATTCAAGGCATTATTCTTTTGTCTTTCTTGATCATAAACCTTATTGACACTACACCCCAAAGCATCTTACTTGTCCTTCGAAAGTCCACCTTCACATCTCCAACCACCTATTCCGTAGGGACTATTCCACTAGCAAACAAGACCCTACTCACATGCTCTCTCACACTCGACAGGTCACTTGATGTTATGGCTTAATATTTATTTATTTATTTATACAAATATATACAAGACAAGTTGTTCACCATCTTTTAGTTTTTTATTGATATGAAATCAATTTTCTTATGATGAAACAATGAATTTGAAATATGAGATTATTGCAAATTTTAAATCAGTGAGTGAGTGAAATGAAGCTCTTTGAAATATATAGAGATTATAAACAGTCAAACATGATATTTGTTGTTATGTTATTTAGTTTAGATTGCATACTTGCATTTTATACTAGAAGTGATCTTTTAGTAGAAGTGATTATCATGTTATTTGCATTCACAAAATATATAAGGTTAAGATGTAATTTTACACCTAAACTATTTTCGAAGGAGTAATGTTATCCTTAAACTACTCATCATAGTAATGTTATCCCTAAACTACTTGTCATAGCAATGTTGTTCCTAAACTAATTAAATAGGAGCAATGTTGCCCTTGCCCTTTAAACGTTCATTAACTATAGTTGGTAGAACTCACTTTTTATGAGTTAAGGTGTAATTTTTTTTAAATTATTCTCAAAAGAGCAATGTCCTTCCAAAACTAATTAAATTGGAGCATGTTATCTTTTCCGTTTAAAAATCATAAACGTTCGTTAATTAGAGAGAGATAATGTAAAGTACTTTTTGTACTAGTGCCATTAGATTTAGATCCTTTTTAACATATAATATTCATGTGAAAGCATTTATTTGTATCACGATATTCTCGACCAACATTCTAAGGAGTCATGAATTATACATTGAGAAGAAACTCAATTTTTATACTAATTTTTTTCAGTGATAAATATAACAATAGTTGAAGTATAAATTCACACTGACAACATTATAAAGGAGCTCTTGATCTAACAAAAAGCATACAAACAATATTTTTGGGGCAAAAAAGTCTCTTCTTATCATCTTGAGTGGATTAGTCTACAAAATTGTCTATCATAAATAAATATATTTTCTTATACGTATTATAAACATAAAAACCTATACATAGACCATCATAAAATAGTTATCCAAAAACTAATTCAACAACTAGAATGCTATAGTCTATTTGAAATCTTGACTTAATTCAATGTTAACTAAAGAGAGATTATGAAAAGTGAATCTTACTAGTTACAGTTAACGAATGTTTATTATTTTAAATAGTGAGGGCAACATTGCTCCTTTGAAAATAATTTAAGGACAAAATTGCACCTAAATTCATGAAAAATAGGTCCCGCTAACTATAGTTAACGGATGTTTAAATGACGGAAGCAACATTGTTTTGATTTAATTTGTTTAGAGGTAATAGTGCTATGATGAGTAGTTTAGGGGCAACATTACTCATTTGATAATAGTTTAATGATAAAATTGTACTTTAACTCAAATATATAATTAAAATTATACTTTTTAAGAGGGGATGATCAATTTTCTTTGTGATAATGTAATATTTAGACAACTTTTTAATTTTTTTTTTTTTGCAGATTTTGACAGCTTACTTTTTCTAGAATTCAAGATACATCTCCACATCATCAATACAATACAACAAAATCGAGACCTAGTATCGGGTTCAAAAACTAATGGATATTCATTTAAATTTAATGATAAGGGTGAAATTATCCCAATTTTAATTGTTTAAAGTTTAAAATATATTTTTTAAAACTTTAGAGTTTAAATAGCCTTTAAATCTATAGTTTATGGTTTAAATTACATATTAACCCTTATTAATTTTCACAATTTTTTCTTTTTCTTTTTTGCCAATACATTAATTTCCTAGTACTCCTTCCTTTACTCATGTCTCATGTCATGACATCCCTCCGAGTTTGGATAGGTGATGAATGAAGTTGGCATATGGATGGAGAAGAAAATTTGAAAATAATAGAGAATCATTCTACATTTTACATAATTTTGCTTCGCTTCATTATGAGCATATATTTTAAAAATGATCGTACGTAACTGATCCTGCCTAACTAAATATTTTTCTTTAATTGAAATTAATTTATATGCATATGACCATTCACTATAGCCAAAACATCATATTTAGATTATATTATTATTAGGACATAACTACTAGCATGCATATCTTTGGAGTTGGATTTTATCAAGAATTGATCTAAAAATTTTATGAGTTAAGGTATAATTTTATTCTTGAACTTTGTCTCTAATAGCAATTTTACTCATATACTTATAAGTGGGGCAGTTTTACTCTTGAATTAATTTTTTAAAGGGCCAAAAACCCTTTTTATAGGGTGCCTAGTTCTCCTTGAAAAGTAATATAGGGGTAAAATTGCTCTATTTATTAGTACAGGGATAAAATTGTACCTCAAAAAAAAATTTAAAGATAAAAATTGTACTTTAATCCAAAATTTATCAACAAATTGCACTTCTTTGTCAATAGGAGCTATTAATTATTGTCCTTTATTGGTGGATTTGGTTTCCATAAATTCTAATTTTTGGTTTTGGAAAAAAAAAGAAGCAATTTTTTTGTTTTGTAACAGCAGACCATTTCTTTTGCCTACACCAGCAATTTGTGCATGTGCCTTGATAGAGTTCAGATGCAGATTTTATATATAGATTATAGAAGCAAAGCAAAATATATAACAAAAAATGTAATGATTAAAAATAAAGGAATGAAATATAGATTGTGAAACACATTGTACTTTGATTTTCTGTCAAACCAGATAGAATCCTTATTCTTTTACCACAAATGTATTATTTTCATGACTTCAAAATAATCTCTCAATTCCTTAATTATTTTCATCGTTTTAAAGTGAAAACAGTTTCCTTAATTTTTATATGACAAAAACTTTTTTTAAAACTTTTTAGTCCTTTAATTTTACACTAATTTGATTGTTTAGTTTTATTAATTTATTTTAAATCTTCTTGACTTCTAAAATCTCGCATAAAAACTTCTCTCTATTTTAACAAGGTTAATTTATTTGATGAAAAAAATGCTTATATAAAATTAATCTTTTTCCAGATTATATAAAATTAAATTTAATAAATAAAAAGTACATTTATTTTCTTCCTCATTCATCTCTCAAATTTTTTAGCTAAGAAAATACTTGTAAACCTATAATAGACATACATACATACATACATACATACATACATACATACATATATATATATATATATATATACGGGCAATTTTAAATGGGGAAACAAGAAAACTCTGTGTACCAAAATTTACAACTGGAATTGTCAAAAAAAAAAAAAAATTGCAATTGGAAAATAGGACAACAATATTGCAACCCTCTAAAAATTCTTTGGCAATACAAAAATTTCTCCAAAGTCAGGACAATATTGAAATTTGTTCAATTCTTTCACTCAAGTTTTGTTTGTTCTGAAATAATTAAGAGATTAATTAAGAAAAAATAGAGGGCATGGCAAGAGGAGCGTGTATATCACAAGCAATGACGCGTTTGAATATTCTCATCAGAACCTTTCATCAGGAAGAAAAATTGTCAGACAACTCCACACAGGGAAAAAAAAAAAAACACTACCAACCACGACGCTTGGATCAATTGATAAGAGTTATTCCAGTTTAATTAGAGATCTCAAGTTCAAGTCTTAAGAATGCAACAGTGGAAGTGGCAAGAGGTGCCCTGTGGTGCTTATCGTGCCTTGATCCTGATTAGTCTAAGGCAGGCTCGGGATATAAGTTGCTCATGTAAAAAAATAAACACACACACCACCATCTTTAATTTGAGGACCAATTCACACGTAACGTTCAAAACTTCTTGGATTGTGTACGTATGTGTGTATATATATACACATTGATTAACAGGGAGAACGAGAAGAAAACAACGTTATTCAGATATCCATATATAGCTTGTTGCATTTCGAATATGGATCATTGCGCGTCTCATCACAATTGCCATATTTGTGCCAACAAATTAGCATCTTTTTGCATCTGGTAGCAATATATATACACAACCAAAAGGCTGAAGCGACTGGTAGTCAGGCTCTGTTTTGTATAACCAAAACAGGGGCGTCGAGTCCTTGAGAACTGGAGTGGGGAGTCGATTAATCAACTAGATCGACCTGAAATGCATCAACCCAATATGTCAGTGACATGTGAGCCTGAGCAAGTAAAGTTACCCCATCTCAACTATATGTCTATGGTTACACACAGCTCGTTCATTTTGAGAAGTATAGGGACAAGTAATACGCATATTGATTCCTCAAGAAATAGCAATAACAACAATTGGTTTAAATTCAAAACCACCATCACATTGGATAGCCTTAATTCTCGTACTAAATTGATTTTCAACAACAGCTCGGAAATGATTGAAAGCATTTACAGCTTCACTTTTGTGTTTTAATGGATAAAACCAAGTGTGCCGAATGAAATCATCAATACAGTGTAGATAAAACTCATGGCCTCGAGTGGATTGGATGGGAGAGGGACCCCATAAGTCAGTATGTATAAGATCAAGCAGAGATGCCGCATGAGAAATAGAGTTAGGAAACAGTAGTAATTTGGATTTGCCACATTGACAAGCCTCACAAACATATTTTTCATTCACAGCAATTATTGCATTACATTTATTCAATATTTTTCCTAAAACTCTATTACTCGGATGACCTAGCTTACAATGCCAATCAAGATACTCAGACGAAGTTGCAACAGAGGAGGAGGCAACAGCATGTGCTTGCTAAGAAAAAGCATCACTGACTAGGGAGTACATTCCTTCTTGGGGCTTCCCTCGCATCAGTAGTACCTTGCCTGTCATCTTGTCCTTCACAACACATTCAGTATTAGTAAATTCAACGCAGACATAATTATCTTCAACAAGTCTGTAGGTACTCATGAGATTTTTAGTAGCAGTGGGTACTATTAAAACATCTTTAAGAGAAACATTGGAGGAAGAACATGGGATAGTGGCAAAACCAATACCCTTAACAAAAGCACTTTCACCAGTGCAAGTTAATAGAGGAGATATATTAGATGCACCAGTGTTCTGGACGTTCACAAGTTGGTCAGCATTAGGAATGACATGGTAATTTGCCCCACTACCCACATACTAAGCCGGATCTGCAATAGTGCTAGAAGAAGCACCCGTGGAGCCACGACCATAACTAGATGGAGGTTGATAAGAGTGATCATATCGGTAATAACAATTTGCAACATCATGACTAAGGTGATAGCAGAGATAACAATAAGGACGATTATTACCAGAACCTCCACGATGAGAACATCTGCAAAAGCTACCACCATGAGATCCTTGACTTTGTGAACTAACACCACTACGAAAGGAATCACGACCAGTGTTAGAATGAGGTGTCTCAGCACATTGTGCAACATTTGCAGAGGGCTGCAAGGATAGACTGGAGAAGTGATTAAGTTGTTCGAGACAGGTATCAAAAGTAAGGAGAGCTGCTTGAGCATTAATCTAGGTGAGGTCAGGTTTGTCAATGAGCTTGACAACAATAGCATTGTATTCCACGTATAAGCTATTAAGTGTATGAATGATGAGATCTTTAGTATCAACCAGGGCTCTAGCCAAGGGTTTGCAATATTCTTCAGTTTAGCAAGATGCTCGTCCATCTTCATGTCATTTTTCCTGGTACGGTAAAGCTCGGATTTGTAGACAAGAACCCGAGCTTTTGTGGAGGCATTGGAAAGTGAGCTGACATCAATAGTCATGGTATTGCGAATCCACCCAACAAGAAGCTTGTCGGTAGCATGCCAGTCTTCATACTTAGGATTTGGCTTGGGTCCTGCAGCATCGGAAACTAGTCTTAGAGGTGAGATGCTGGTGGTGATGTGAGCATCATGTTTGTTCCCTTTCAATAAGGGGGAGAACAATAGATTCCCATAACAAGTAATTACTACAGTCCAGCTTGACCGAAGTGGCAGGTGAGCTGAATAAGGGTTTATTTTTGGAGATGGTGTTAATAGTGATGGTTGGGGAAGAACTATAGGAGGCGAGTGCGATAGAAGAAGCAGCCATGGACCGAAAAAATGAGAGAGGTGCTCTAATACCAGGAATTTTTTTTTTTTTTTTTGACCTGAACTCTAATAACAAGATAGAAAGCACATAAATCTGAGAATCATGCTCTGCCGCCTTAATCAAGCCTACACAATTGTATTGCTTATATATATATATATATATATAGGACAAAACCGTTAGAGGGTACAACAGGATTGTGACACATATAAGGGAATGCTAACCAGTAACAGCCTATTGATACATCATACATGTGGCCTATATACAGAAGAATCTACACACAGATTGTAATTACATAATAATCCTTTATGCTTTAACAAAGAAGCATTTTAGTGAGTCTGTGAGTTAAAGTGTGCGCTCTGTGAGAGAAAAGCGTGCGTGTATCGGTGTATGATGAAGCGTGCGTGTGAGAGAAGCAAGAGTGTGTATAAGAACAGTGAGTGAGGTGACAAAGTTAAAAAAGTGCAGTGTTGAGAAGTCAAAGGGAGTGTGTATAAATTATTGCTAAAAAACAATAATAAAAGTTTTCTTTTGTTTAAGTCATCCCTTTCTTGTTTCAATCCACGCCTCTCATTCGGAGTCCACTTTAAATTCCAACACGTCTAAGCAGTTGTCAGAAACAACCAAAATTGCAGGTCAGTCAACTGCAAGACTGATCAAAATGCATTGTGAGGATTTAGGACCGAAGAGAAGAGATGTCGTCTAGTTTTCGGGCACTCTAAAATCCATCATATCCACATCATATGGGTGCTGTTGCTTCATGCTCTTCCTATTCCTCTTCCTCTTCTTCTTCCTCGTCTCCACTTCCTCCAAAAAAATATGATGTGTTTATTAGCTTTAGAGGTGAAGACACTCGCTCAAACTTCACCAGCCCTCTTTATAAAGCCCTGTGTGATGAATCAATCACAACCTTCATAGATTACAGCAGGCTTAGCCGAGGCGATGAGATTTCTGATTCAATCCTCCAAGCAATTCAGGACTCGAGTGTATCTGTCGTGGTTTTATCAGAAAACTTCGCTTTCTCCAAATGGTGTTTGGATGAACTCATGCACATACTCCGATGCAGAAAGTACGAATCACAAATTGTGATCCCTGTATTCTTCAAAGTTGATCCATCCGATGTTCGAAAGCAGAATGGGCCTTACAAGCAAGCATTCGCAAAACATGAGCAGGATTTCGCGGAAAACCTACACAAGGTGAACGAGTGGAGAAATGCTCTTTCTGAAATTGCCAATTTAGCTGGGTGGGACTCTCGATCTCACAGGTCAGTGTTCATTCTTTTAATAGTCAATGCTCACTTCATTGCTTATTAATTGATTAAAGATTTTTATTTAGAGTAAATAGAGTTGGCGGTCCTTCTAAAGTGTTCATTCCATTAAGTTAACAGTCGAGCCGTTCTTCACCTCAATGTTAAGGGGGTAGTGGTCGTTTTTTAAATTTTAAAAATACTTGATTCACAGTCCATGTGGGTTCATATTCTTTTCTATAGTTATTCCCATTTTCTGACAAAGCAAGACTAAACGGATTAACATGAATAAAAATGCTAGATCCCCTTTCTATTGTTATACATTAGTAATGCCAAATTTAGTTATCACTTTATTTAATCGACTCTAATATTCATCACTTAATTCTATCAATTTTTTTAATGTCTCTGTTTATATTTTAGGGACGAATCTGAACTCATACAAAGCATTGTTGGGGATGTCTTGCAAAAATTGAATCTCAAGTATCCAAGTGCGTTAAAAGGTCTGGTTGGAGTTGATGAAAATTGTAAGAGAATTGAAATGTTACTAGAAAAAACCCCTGTAATTGGAATTTGGGGGATGGGAGGCGTTGGCAAGACAACTATAGCTAAGGCTATATTTGCCAAAAACTTTTCCCAATATGATAGTTATTGCTTCTTGGAAAATTTCACTGAACAGTCAGAAAAGCATGGACTGCCATACCTCCGTGATAAACTTCTCTCTGAGTTACTTCATGATAACACATCTAAAGTTGTAGTATCCACATTTAATATGAGAAGGCTTCGGAATAAAAAAGTTTTGATTGTGCTTGATGATGTGAGCTGTTCTAGTCAATTAGAATTTTTGGCTCAAGAATGTAACTGCTTGGGACCAAACAGCAGAGTCATCATAACTACAAGGGATCAACGTTTGCTTATTGGACATGGTGCTGAAATATATGAAGCCAGAGCTTTGAATGATGAAGAAGCCTTAAAACTTTTCTGCTTTAAAGCTTTCCACAAAGGCCATCCGGAAATTGGATATGAACAGCTCTCAAAAAGAGCAGTTGTTTATGCTCAGGGAATTCCATTAGCCTTGACAGTGTTGGGTTCATTTCTTCATTCTCAAAGTAAGGCGGAATGGGATAGTGAATTGAAAAAACTGGAAAAGACTCCCCATGTTGATATTCAGAAGGTGTTGATCTTGAGCTATAATGGTTTGGATCATGAACAAAGAGAAATATTTTTGGATATTGCTTGCTTTTTGAAGGATGAAATTACAGAAAATGTAATTGTACTATTAGATAGCTATGGCTTCCACGGAAGAAGTGGCTTGAGAATATTGGCTGTTAAGGCTCTTATAACTATTGGATATACAGTCACCATGCATGATTTGATACAAATGATGGGTCGGGAGATTATCTATCAAGAGCATATTAAAGAACCTGAAAGACGTAGTCGATTATGGGATCCTGATGAAATTCATGATGTATTGAAAAATAATCGGGTAAGTAAAATAATAATTCCATAACAACAAAATATTTGCCTTGTTTTTGTGATAGATCATAGAAGTACTTACTTTTATTATAATTTGTTTTCTCTGCAGGGAACGGAGGCCATTGAAGGAATCACGTTAGATTTGTCTAAAATTGGAATACTAGACTTAAATGCCAATGCATTCAAAAAAATGACTAATTTAAGATATCTCAAATTTTTTTGGGCAATGGAGCAGAGACATGTGAACCTTCCTATGGGCCTCGAGTCATTTTCTGAAAAGTTAAGGTTCTTTCATTGGGATCAATATCCCTCTAAGTCTCTCCCATCAGGCCTTTGTCCTCAGAAACTCGTAGAACTTAACATACGAGGTAGTAGAGTTGAAAAGCTTTGGGATGGAGTGCAGGTATTTCTTTTTCTTTTTGGTATCAGGAGTACAGGTACTTATATACTAATAATGCATATAGATATAATTTGTCTTCGATCTTGCTTACTCTTACTCATTTAAGATGGCTTTTAATTGTTATAGGATCTTGTGAGTCTAAAGACAATGGATTTGTCAAGTTCCAAAGAATTGATTGAATTGCCTGATTTCTCTATGGCACAAAATCTTGAAAGAGTAAACCTCTCATTTTGTGAAAGTTTACAAAGTGTTCATCACACTATCCTATCTCTCAACTCACTTGTTGATCTAGATCTATCATGTTGCCGGAAACTAGAGAGTGTTGAAAGTGAAACACACTTAAAATCTCTCGTTGACCTTGAAGTTGATTACTGTGATAGCCTCAAGAAATTTTGTTTGTCATCAGAAAAAATGACTAGATTAAATTTAAGGGGGAGTGAAATCGAAATACTACAGTTGCCAGTTGGGCGTTTCACAGAACTTAGAGAGCCTGTTCTTGATGGTTCAAGACTGAGAAGCCTTCCAATAAATGAGTTATGTTGTTTGACCTCTCTTGAGAAATTTGAACTTAATGATTTCAGTCAAGTGATTCGCAAAATGGAGCTGCACACCCTATTTGATGCCTGGCATTGCTTAACAGAACTACATTTGGATGGATGTTGTAAATTGTCAGAAATTCCTGACAATATCGGTGCCTTATGTTACTTAAGCATGCTAAGTTTGAATGGATGTAGTAACTTGTCAGAAATCCCTGACAATATCAGTGCCTTAACAGAATTAGTATCTTTGTCGCTGAAAGAAACTAGTGTGGAGATTTTGCCGGCTTTCATCGAGCATCTCTTAAACCTGAAATTCATTTACTTGAGGAATTGTACTAGGCTTAGTTCTATACTTGGACTTCCTCCTGTCCTCAAAGTATTAGATGTCTCAGAATGCACTTCCTTGGAGACTGTTTTTTCCCCCTCACGGTTTTCACTGGAATTCCTGGCAGACTGTAGCTTTGAATTCCAAAATTGTGCAAAGTTGGATGAGCTTTCCCTTGACTTTATCAGGGAATTGACCCATATCTCAATAATTTTAGCTTGTGAGGATGACAATTTATATGGAGTTAAATGTTGTTACCCAGGAAGTGGAGTTCCAAAACGCATTGGATATAAACAGATGACAAAGGCTTCCAATACTATTGAATTTACTTGTAATCTTCACCAACTGCATGGCTTCCTGTTTTGTTGTGTTGTTCCTCGTTTCACCTCTAAGGAATTAATCATTCACTGCAATTACTCTGTTGATGATAACCACAGATTCTACACTATCTATGATATACTTCCTTTGGAGGACTTGAATTCTGATAATGTTTTTCTATGGTATGAGAAATATGGCTTAAATGATGCTCCAAGGAGTTATCATGGGAAGATTGCATGTGAATTCTCTGTTCCATATTGGAATGGTTATGAGACTGTCGATTCTGATGTCTCCATTAAAGCATGTGGAGTACACCCATTATATGGTTCAGAGGGAAGCAGATATTGATGTTGAAGAATAATGACTTCTTCCAGCAAAGAAATCTCTCAGCCTTTGATGTCTCAATCTTGTCCCCAGCGAAGAAATACAGTTTCTCTTATATCTTTACAGGTGCTACTTGCTTCTCTGATTATAAATTATTTATAAGCTAAACTTTTTCTATTATATATCAATAAATGTTATAGAGATAATTTATGACTTTGTGCTTCACTTTTACATATATAGTGAATTAAAATTCTTAAAAAATAAAGCAATTGGTTTGCAATATAGATGTATATGTATATCTGTTGATATGTTTTAATTACTAGGTCTCTTCTAAAAAAATTTCATTGATGTATCTCTTGGTGTTGAGCTACAGCCATATGCTCCTTTGATCTTATTTATAGGGTAGAGAGAATATTTGCTTTAGTCCTTTTTATAGGGCACTTCTATGGTTTTTGTGTCTTTCTTTACTCTTTTGCCCCTATTAAATGCTTAAAAGGCTATTAAATGTTAGAATATTTTATTTTTAAAGTAATTATATTTAATAGGGATAGAGTTAAAAATTTGTTGAATTTTTAGACAAAATTAATGAGGTTTAAGGTTTTCCTTAATTTTGGTAAAACATGTTGAATGACTTATAAACAGGGTCGGAAGAACATGTGGTGGTAAGTATTTTGTTTTTAGCTTGTTGCATTCAGCCTTAGATGTTTATTGTTGCACTTGCTGACTTCTTGTTGGGTGTCAATGTGGCGCAGCTAAGGTTTAAGTCAATGTCAGATAATGTTAATTGTTATGTAATCTTATGACACCAGTTTCCTTCATTTTTTTTAAAATTCATTTTATGCCCCTTTTTAATAAGCACACCCATTTCTCAAGGCCAAATTTTAAAGAATTGTGTATATTCTTCCTATGTTTTTTCTATCTAAAAATGAAAAAGTAAGGAAAAGGAACCCCTGCAACATCATTCAATATGTCATTGTATGACTCAGAATATGGTGATATCACCCAAGAAAAGGGTTTGAAAAGTTTGAAAGGAAACTAGTTTCGGCGAAACAAAGAAAATGAGAAAAAATACAATATTTTATGATTCAATCTGTTCTTGTGAAGTTGATAGTATGTGAGTTCCTGCACATCGTAATAATGGTGAAATCACTGCTTAACACTATCAAAAATGAAGTTTTAACACGTGAACAAAATAGGCATGCAAGGTGAAAGGAAAACGCTATAGGAGTGCATTTTTATTATTAGTATACAGGCATCTCTGTATGTCTCTCTGTATTGATTAACTAAGTTTTAACACATGGGAACTATCTTTATATCATATACAGGGGCCCTATGTGACTGGAAATTGAAGAGATACTGAATGGATTAATAGGTTCATGTTTTAATTTAATGTGGGCAATGAATAAAATCTGATGTCCTCTAAGAAAAATATCTACTCTTTCTCTTGAACAAAAGGGTTGGTTCTCAAAATTAGATTATGATTTTTTCCCCTTTGAAGTGCTGCCATGAGTGTATTTCTTCTCAAAGAAATCTTGTACTAAATATTGTCTTTATATGTAGATAGTGACATTTTATAGTTTGTGCAAATGTTTGTTATGGTCGTCTTCCATTCACTAAACTTTGTAATGAAGTTGAACTTAGTGATGATGATGCAATTATAATCCGTCACCCCCGGCGCCTCACCACAGCCCTCATTACTATTCAATTTGCTCATTCTTTTCACCAGTTATTGGATTTTATTTCTTCCACCATCCTACATTGACTGTAATTATTAATTTGAAGATGATGAGGGGCATTCTTTTCACCATTTATTGGATTTTGTTTGATTCAATGTTGTAAGCAACTCACTCCCTTATTTATATGGTAGAGAGAAGATATTTTTTTTTTTTGGGTTCTATTTATAAGTCACATTATTAAATTTTTATCATAAATTTTTTTTTATCATCCATTAAATTATGGAGAGATAAAATATGTTGTTAAAGTATGTATATTTAATAGGGATAAAATTGAGAAATTATTAAATTTTTACACATAATTAATGAGTTTTAATTTTTTTTAGTGCTAATGAAATATGTTGAAAGTAACTTATAAATATAACCAGAGGAGCGTTATCTCAATGTAAAAGATACTTTTAGACATAATTAAATATATTAATAAAGTTCATTAAATATACTTTACTTCTTTATTTTTTTAAAATAAAAATATAAACTTTAAAAAATGTTAGTTAATAATGCATTCACAAGTTCTAGCTCTCAAAATTTGAGAATTTAATACCAAATTTGTAATGACCTTTTATTATTAACCATTTATAAACCCAATTAATTAAATCAACCTTTAAAGCTAAGGATGAACCTTGGTTAAGGTAAGACTTTATAAATGACTTTGAAAAAAATTGAGAATATTGGGATCTCGTAATTATTTTGAAAATAGATTATAAACAACAACATTTGAAATCACTTAAAATTAGAGTAGAAAGGAATGTAGAAACATGAAAAATGGTCAAGCATTTAAAATAGGTTCAAATAAGAACAAAAAAGACATTACAAAAAGTTGTACATATCCATCATGGTTAAGGAACTATTCATTGTGGCTTGTGGCATTGAGGCCATGACATGTCCATCTGTTGTAACCAACCTAGCACAATACTTCCATTATGGCTAAACTCCACATCCATTGTGGCTAACCCTTCACTGTGTCATCCTCCACGGCCAATGAACTATAACAATATAGAATTATGTAGAATTAAATTCTATCTTCTAATGCACCTAATAAACTTCCCAACCCTTTGATTAAGGTGATTTAAGCATTCACACATAGTTAGTTAAAAGATCAATCTACTAGCCTTGGCTCCAACTCAATTTGATTTCTTTTTCTTTTTTTATAATTAGAAGGCAAGCTAAAGCTTGAAAGAAAGCAAAGAAAGGAGAGACTAGGCTCTAGTAGCCATTACATCAAAGTTTATATGCAGATCATCCTACATAAAACCTAAACAAAAGGAAGGTAAAGTAGATAGTAAGACTAAGCCATAGTGGTCAGCATGTGCATCTTTGGCTAGTGAGTCTGCACATCGAAGTGCTTCTCTAGAGTTATGATGGATCTTGATCTCTTAATTATCGAAGAATAATTCCCTTATTTCTTCAATCTCAACCCTCAGAGGATGATCAATGCCACTGTCTTTAGAAAGACATTTTATGGCTTCAATAGGGTTAGAGAAAAGTTGAATTTTCTTGAACTAATAGAGCTTACAAACCTCCAGGCCAGTTTTAATAAGAAGAATTTCAGCTGCGAGGGAAAGAAGAAAGCCTAGTTTCTTCTTGAAACCAATGATCCATTTGGCTCGATCATTTCTAATGACACCTCCATAAGCAATAGAATTATCACCATTAATAGAGCCATCTACATCAATCCTTACCATTCTAATAGAGGGAGGTTTCCAGACTATTTCAAAAAATGATTGATCTGGGAATAGCTGATGATGAAATTTATCCTGAGCAACATTTTCCATTAGCTTATGCATGCCATAGTGAATGACCTCCTTTGGTTTTGCACATTTTTCCTCAAATAGTTGCTTACAATGTTCAGTCCATAAGAGTCAACAAAATTGACAGAAAGTTCTAAACCAATACCACCTACTAGATATTTGTCTCCTAAGGTCGTGGTTTAAATTCTATCTTAGCCACACCTGTAAGTCACAAGAAAAAAATATAGGAATAAAGATAAGGTTAATCAGTTTATTCCACACTTGTTGTGCTCTACCACAGTTTCTCAAGATGTGAATAACACTTTCTTCTTCGTGACACTTAAAATGACAATCTGAAGTGTTTGAAAGACCTCTCTTCTCTCTAAGTGTGTTTGTGAGAATTATCTCATGGGTAATTTGCCACATAAACATTTTCACTTTTTTCTAGACCTGACACTTCCAGATCTCGTTCCAAAGTGGGTCAGTAGCAAGTAAGTCAGTATTGGTGAGGAAGTCATATGCTTCTTTAATAGAGAACCTTCTATCGAATGCCATTTTCCACAAGAGAACATCATTATGATTGTTTGAGGTTGTTTTGATAGATTTAAGAGCAGCAATGATGTTAGGAGAAAAGAAATGGGACCACTCCTGCACATTCTAAGTTCCAGAGGGTAGCACATAATCCCTAACCACCTTGGAATGGTTGATAAGATTCAAGTTTTTGTTTGCAAGGGTGATGAGAGGTTTATCAAAAAGGGTCTATAAATCGCACCAAAAAATTTGTGTCGCATCCATTGTTGATTTTTTTCCAATTCTCGCCAGGAATGTATTCCAATATATAACAATTGTACTCCAGACAAGAGATGAAGATTTTTTTCGTGTAACCATTAGGATTTTATGAGTGCCATAATCTTATTTAGTAGGAAGGCATTGAACCCATAAGGAATTAGGTTTGTTAATCATTTCCCAGTATAACTTTATGATAAATGCCTTGTTTTGACATTAAAGATCTTTAGTACCTAGGCCACCCTTCTTTTTGCTTTTGGAGATGTCCTTCCAAGACACAAGATGCATTTTCCTCATCTCTGAGTCTTGACTCCAAAGAAAGCTTCTGCTTATTTTTTCAACTTCCTTAAGAATGCTTTTATGAATTAAAGAGGATTGCATTTGATAAGAAGGAAGAGCCCCAATAATAGATTTGATAAGAATTGACCTTTCTGCCATGGTCAATAATTTGCTTTTCCAAGAGGAGAGATGATTGCGAACTTTCTCAATAATATGAGAAAAGGTAGCTTTAGTAACTCTAGAATGAATGAGTGGGACTTCAAGATATGTCCCCAGATCACCAATGATACCAATCCCAATACTTTGGCTCAACCCCACACTTTGATTAAAATGCACATTTCTGGCATAGAAGACTTTAGACTTGTCTAAATTTATTTTATGCCCTAAAGCTGCCCAAAATTGCGACATAACTTATTTAATAACCTTGATTTGACTCTTAGTTGCTTTTGAGAAGAGAAGAAGATCATCAACAAAAAAGAGATGGGATATTATTAGTCCATTAGTTCCAGATCTCTAAGGTTTCCATCTTTAAATGGAGCATGCATTATGAATGAGGTGTCCTAGTCTCTCCATACATAAAACAAAAAGGTACGGGCTTAAAGGAATGCCTTGGTGCATGCCTCTTGATGGATGAAAAGTTGGTCTTTCCTCACCATTCCAAAGGACTTTAAGGGAAATGGTGGAAATCATTGCCATAATGACATCCACAAACTTATTATCCAACCTAATAGCAAGGAGTGTGCTTTTGATGAAATTCCAATCGAAACGATCAAAGGCTTTCTCTATATCTACTTTAATTGCAACATAGCCTTTTCTTCCAGGTTTGTTCCTCATTTGATGGATCACTTCCTAGGCAATGATAATGTTGTCACAGTTAGATCTTCCCACAATAAAACTACATTGCTGGGAGGTAATGAGATCATTCAGGAGCAGTTGAAAATGACTAGCTAGCAGTTTAGTAATGATCTTGAAACTAACATTACAAAGTGAAATCGGTCGCAAATCTTTCAAAGAGGTAGGATGATTAATTTTAGGAATGAGGATAATGTTTGCATGATTGATAATTTTCATGTTGGTTGGATCTTGAAGCAAATCTTTAACCAATCTATAGATTTTTCCGCCAACTAAATCCCATTATGCTTGAAAGAAGTGGGCCTATTCTCCGTTAGAACCTAGGGCTTTAAATGCTCCCATAGTGAAAGCCACAATTTTAATTTCCACATCATTAATGTTGCGTTGCATCTAAAGTAAAGTTGATTTTGAAAGACAAGGAAAACAAGCAGGCATATAGGAGTTTGTATCCAGCAAATCATCCTTGGCGCAAAGTTTAGAAAAATAATCGCTTGCCATCAGCTTTAGAGAGCCCTTATCATTTACCTAATTACCATTACCATCTTGAAGAGCAACAATTCACTGTTTTTTTTCTTTTGATAATGGTGGAGGCATGAAAAAATCTTGTATTGCAATCACACCATTTTAACCAATTACAAGGAGATTTTTGAAACTAAAGGAGTTCTTCTTGAGTAGTCAATTTATGATATTCCTCCCAGAGTTTGAGCTCTAACCTGAGTAAACCATTATCTGAGTAGGTGGCTTTGATACGATCAATACCTCCAATTCGTCGCAAGAGAGTATGCTTTTTCTTAGGTATGCTTCCAATGTGTTCATCATTCTACTTTGAAGTTGAAGATTGAAATCATGTAATCCAGCTACCCAATCTTTATCTAACCATACTTCTTGAATAATATTTGTAAAAGAATCTTCAAGGTTCCAGGCAGCTTGATATATGAAAATCTTCTTATTTTGGAGGCATCAAGTTGTATAATCAAAAGATAGAAGTACAACTTTGTGATCAAACTTGAATTTTAGTTCATGTAAAACTTTGGAGTTTGGCCAGAAGGAAGGCTAAGCATGATTGTAGAATGCCCAGTCCAATTTTTCATGCACACCATTTTTCTCCCAAGTGAATCTTCATGTTGGATCATCCAGTTCAACTAATCCAGAATCAGTGATGTAGTCATTGAAGTGTTTCATAGATAGAGGGTTAGGACTAGCGCCACCAATCTTGTCTTTAGGGATGGAGAAGGCATTAAAGTCACCCATAACTACTCATGATTCAATGGTAATACTTGCAATAGTCTTGAGAGAATCCCACAGCCCTTTTCTTTTAAGATAATTTGTTTCCCCATACATGAAGGATGCAATTAGACAAGCATTAGAGGCAAGGTCAACAACTTTACAGTGTAGTACTTGGACATTCAATACTA